TCAAATTTTTAAAAAATAGAGCCTACCAGCCATTTTGCACAGGAACCTCTCACGCAAACTGTGCTTCAGGAGAAGCTTGTGCTGAATTGCCTGCCTCTGCGCTGAACTACCTGCCTGCAATGTGTTTCAGCCAACTGAGCCTGCCCTTATAAAGGAGTTCCTGGAATCCTATTTTAACCAATAGGACTGAGGTTTCCCCATCCTAATGGAGCTGCACAGCTCTAGCCAATCAGAGTGTCTCTATTTTGATTAATCAGGACAGTGCCTTTTGGACCAATCAAACTGCAAAGATTTGGAGTCCTTATTTGCATGAGGACAGACCAATCAGGGACAGGGGGCAGGGACTCCTGTCCATATAAGTCAGCTAGCTCCCCTCTGGCTCAGGGAGCATACTTTGCCTTTCTATTGAAGACTGCCTCTCCCTGGCTGAGGAAGATGACATGACAGTGCAGAGCTGTCTAGTGAGAGCAGAAAGGGGCCTGGCCCCAGGGTTTCCTCATAGCTGTGCTGTTTTTACAGCCATGGTGTATCATAATTGAGCTGTTTTGCACTGAATAAAGTTTCCTTCTTCACTACACACCAAATTGTAGTGTAGTGTTTGTGTTGAATTGACACCAATGAACATCAGCTGACAAAACTTTGCTGAACCAAGTAAGCTGAAAAAAGTTACTCAAACTTAAAGTACACAGGTTATTTATTTATTTTTTCAGAATGAGACCAACACTGGGAGTTTGAGTCAATGGAGATAATTTTAGAAAAGCCTAATAGTTAGAAAAAAATCAGTTATTTAAAGTTTTGGACTTTAATATAACTGTTGAAGATGAAAATAGAAAATGAAATTCTGTTGTCATAGCACTTGTAAGATCATCAGTTTTTAACTATGTGAAAACCACATGGGACAGCTGAAGTGGATGATGTCATCTTTGGATGCCTATGATCTTGACCTAAAGCACTCCCAGGACTGATCAGGGGATCAATCGTTGCCAAGAATTACTCAAACAAAATTGCGGTAATTGTTAGCAGAAAACAATTTTCTTGGTTTACTTTGACTATATTGGGAAGGTCATTAATAAGACATGATCACTTGGTTTACTCATGAGCTGGACTCTGGCTATTGGAAGCTCCACACTCCTGCCCTGTGCTTGGAATATGCCCTCAGCTTTCCTTTCCTGAGCTAGAAGCTGCCCAAGAACACAGCCTTCAGAGAGTATTGTGGTCTTGAGATCATCTGGACTGGGTACCTGATTGAACTCTGTTAAGGTTTCTATACAAACTTTGAAGATTTGTCTTTTGGGTGAGAAAATTACTGATCCTTCTACTGACCAAGACAAGCCCCTTCAGTAAATTCCCTTATTTATTAAACCTGCCACCTACCAATAAGGAGTAGTCTGTCTTTTTTCTTGGGTCTTTCCCTGCCTTCAGCAGATGGGGTAGTTCAAGATTACATAAGGGAAACTCCCAGTCAGATTTGATAGCCAACAGACTAATTCCTATAGTGCAATTTGTCCACAGTAGACTGACATGATATGTCTGCTGCTGATTCAAGTGTCACCTTGTCATATTCTAGTTTGTGGGATTCTTTTCAGTGTTTAAGGTGTAGGCAGCAGGCTATTTTTTTATTTAAATTCTTAGTATATGGAAAAACCTTAAACATAAGATAAATTTCAAATGATATAAAAGAAATCTATGATATTTACGGTTTTACCGATACCTAACAGTGGTTTCAAATGTAATAAGTATATTCTGCTGACCAAATAAAACTTATACCAAATTGGTAAAGACATAGACATGTCTTAAAACTTGGCATTATTTCTGGAAACAAGGAAGCATAAGGGCTAAGAAATTCTTAACACATTTTTTCTCTTTTAAACAGAAATTAGAAATACATTTTTAAAATTAAGGTGATAGGTGTGATTTCAATACCTTATTAATTTGTACATTTCTCCCAGTATTTTATCTATATAATGATGATATGAATATAATTATGTGTTTCTATATTCTAACTTACTTCATCCTCAGCAGACTTTATTACATATACCTGCAGAACAGACATCATCACTCTTAAATGTTTGAACAAAGAATTGCATAGGAGAAACACTGTTGATTGTTTTGCACATTTTAATTCAAGTAGTATTACAGATTTTTAACTTATCTTCCTGAGTTACATATGTTAATATTCAATATTTCACATTTCTGTCATTTCAGAAAATAACTAATACATGAAAAAGCTTCCTATGTACACTTCTAAAAAAGTGCAAGTTTCTATTCTTAAAAATTATCTGCCAGTAAAGAACACTTACAACTCAACAACAAAAAGACAACAATAACGCACATAAAAAATGGACAAAGAACATAGACATTTCTCCAAAGAAGATAAACAAATGTGCAACAAGTTCATGAAAAGATGATTAATGTTATTAGTCATTAGAGAAATGCAAACCAAAACTACAATGAGGTATCACTTCACTCCCACAAGTATGGCCATAAAGAGAAAATATTTTTTACAAAAGGAAAACAAGTATTGGTGAGAATGCAGAGAAATTGGAATTTTATAACATAGTTGGTAGGAATATAAAGTTGTGAAACCACTGTAGACTGTGGAAAAACAGTTTGGAGATTCCTCAGTAAGTTAAACATAAAATTACCACATGACCCAGCAGTTACACGCCTAGATATATATACACAAAATAATTGAAAATAGCTGTTCAAAGAATAACCTCTATGTGAATGTTCATAGCAGCTCTACTTACAATAGGCAGAAGGTGGAATCAACCCAAATGCCCATCAATGGATGAATGGAAAAACAAATTGTAAGATATCCATACAGTGGAATACTATTCAGCAATAAAAAAAAGAATGAAATATTAATACATCCTCAAATTGGATGAAGCCTGAAAACATTATGCTGAAGGGAAGAAGCTTGGAAACATTATGCTATGTACTGTATGGTTTCATTTACATTAAATGGAATAGTCTAATCTATAGAGACAGAAAGCAGGTTGGTGGTTATCTTGAGCTTGGGAGAGTGGCGGTGGTTGGGGGGGGGGCGTTAAATGGGGAGTGACTGTTTAATGGGTATAGGGTTTGGCTTTGGGGTGGTGAAAATGTTCTGGAACTAGTGGTAATGGTTGCCTAACATTGTGAATGTACTTAATGACACTGAATTTCTTCTTTATTTTCACGCACTTTAAAATAAATGGTAAATTTTATGGTATGGGTATTTTACCATAATAAAAAGAAAGTTAAAAAATTGTCTACCTAGGTATAGATTCAGGATTTTATCCTTGAGTCAAATATGTGTATTTATCCACTGCACTTAAGAATTTTCACTGCTTTCCAAAAGAATCTTTCTACAATCAGGCGAAATGATGCACTTTTGAGTGAATACCAAGCAGCTATTAAAAATGCATTCACATTGACTTTGTGCCAAACATGTGAATCTGAAGCCCAGTGAAATCTTACATGCTGTCAGACCTAATGCTGTATTTCAAGTGACTAGTGCCCGGAGTAAGGGTAGAGATCAAAGGCACAGGTTTTAGAGTTAAGTGGATTCCTATCCTTGCTTTTCTAATGCCAGATGTGGGACTTCCGGCAAGGAACAACAATCTCGTGAGGCTCACTGGTAACATGGGAGTATCTATTTTACTGTGATGCTGTGAGAAGGGAGTAAGTACTTATACGAAAAGTGCTCAGCCATGGACTCAGCCTATAGTGAACGGTCAACGTGGCAGGGACTTGCAACACAGGCTTATATGTGCTGTTTCTAAAGTCAACCTTTTCTAAATGAGAGGGAAGGAAGCTCACTCATCTCGCCTTCACCGGCTTCTGATTTGGGGAGGGGGCTGTCTCTTGAGTGTGGACTAGATTCGGGCCACAGAGCCATAGTTTTGATCACACGGAGAGGTCATCAGTGACAGCCGGCACCCCCTGCTCCCAGTCCTCTCCTCCCCACCCAGCTCTGCAATACTCTGGCGCCCTTTCTCCCGAAGGGAGCAGATCCAGCTTTAGGTGGAACTCTATGGCTGGTGCAATGTACATCTCATTAAACGGATCCCTGGTAGAACGTGTTATGATGACAAAGAAAGAGAATGTTGCCTATTCGAAGTTTATAAAGCAAGAGATAGCAGGGAGGAGGAAAAGCAATTCTTTTAAAAAGGATACAGAAAGCTGTATCCTTTTTCTTTTATGACTTTTTTTTTTGGCAATTTCTGGAATTTTCCATGTACAGTTGAAACATGGAAACAATGCGGGGCTGACCCTTGAACAATGCGGGGCTGCTGGTCTTGTTTCCTTAACCGCGCTCCGAATTATTGACTTCCAGTTGTTCCAAGGACCCACACTGTCAGGCAGTGACGGTGGGTCACACTCGCTCTGACGTTCAGCCAGCACATGAAGCGGCTGACAAAAATGCAAAGGAAATCACGACTCTTGCAGAACCAAAGACAAAGGGGGACGAGAAGATCGTCATGCAAATGGGGAACCTGCCTGAGAGCCCCAGCTCAGCACAAGGCTTTGCACCTCTCCAGGGCACCCGTCAGCTGGATGTCCGATCTAGGTGAAGCGGTTTTGCAAAGGGAAACGCCAGCCTGAAACTCACTCCCCGTCCTCCAGGCGCCTGCACCGGCGCAGGAGAGATTCGCCGTGTCACCCACACTCCAGGGCGCTCAGTGAGACGTGACAAAGGAGTTGGCCGGGGCCTTGGGGGCCAGGAATCACAGGGAGGGTCACGAGGGGCTCGCAGGGAAGGCTCTACGAGGGGAGATGCCGGCTTGAATGGCGTGCGGGGTAGGGAGGTTGGATGAGTGACAAGCCGAGGCGTGCGGGACTGAAGCCTCCGGCAGCGCTGGCCGCGGCCGCGCGCGGGATGAGCCGTGGCGCGTGCGCAGTCCGACGCTGGCGCCGGGCGCGCGGCCCGCGGGAAGCCCGCCCGGACCCGCGAGCGCGAGACCCCGCGCGCCGAGGCGGGAAAAGGCTGGCGCATGCGCAGACCGGCGCTCCGGGCTGGCCAGGATGGGGAAGGGGAGGTGGAGTCTCCAAGAAGGAACTTGACCCGTTAGCAGCCGTAGGCCATGGCGGCGCGCTCGCCGCCCCCTCCGCCTCCTCCGCGGCTTTCGGGGACCCGGTCCTCACGTGTTGGGCGGGGAGCTGCGGTCCACGCAGTGAGCAGCGAGGCCTCGGGCCTCGGCGGTGAGGCGCGGGAGGGCGTCGTGGACCGAGGCGACATACCCTGGCCGAGTAGAGAGGGGTCGGGGGGCCAGCGAGGGCCGGGGGGGTCAGCTCCGGCTCAGGCTCCCCTGCTCAGGGCGCCCCCGGGGTCCGAGCGGCTAGAGGGCATCTCGGTAGAGGAGGTCATGGTGGCCCGGATGCAGCTGCTGGAGGAAGAGCTGAGCAGCCTCAAGGAGGAGCTGGCCCTGTGTCAGGTATCGAGGCCTCCGCGGCGGGCCGGGGCCTGTGGGGAGGCGCGACCCTCTGCCTCCGCCTCGGGCTGCGTGGCCGCGCGGGTTGGGGACCTAGCCAGCCCCGCCCGCGGCGCTCCCTCCCGGCTCCCCGCTGCCCGCCCGCCCGCGGGCTCCCGCCCCTCCCTGCACAGCCGCGGACTGAGCTCTCGGTTCCCCGGGTTTGGTTCTCTTCGCTTGGGTGCCGCCTGGACCGGCAGTCACGCCCTCCCCGCACCTCCTCCCCAAGCCCAGTCTCCGCCGAGCCGCAGAGGCTCTGGGTGCCGCGGGCGCGGCGTGCAGGGCACGCGCTGAAATGCGGAACAGGAAAGTTTAAACACTCGTTCAAGTCAAATGCACCGAGGGAGGAGCCTGTTTTTAATGTTCAAACCCACACCTTCTCTTGTCAGTCAACTTAAGTTGGAAACAGACCCATAACTTTGAGGGCGCCTTGGGCCGGGAACTTGCACACACAGTAGGTGATGCTTGATCCTTAGGAACCCGCCACAGGAGGCCCCCCGGTCCTCGAGCGGGAAATTTTACTCCAATTATTAGAGTCTAATGTCATTTCCTAGGTCAGCGGCGTGCACATGGCGTTCCGTGATGTGCAGAGTGTGTGCACCAGAGGTGGCTGGATCATGTGCAGAGAGAGTTGATGGCCCTTTCATGCTGCATCCTGACCACACTCGCTGGCTGTTTGCAGGGCCTTTAGACGGGGTTGGGTCATTCAATGTTGGGGTTCACTCCAGAGTAGGTCTTTGGATCACTGTCTTTGAGACAGAACCAATCGGGAGCCGCAAAACACCAAGGTGTCTTTAGGAGTGGAATCAGCGAATCAGCGGTTCTCAACCTGTGGGTCGCGACCCCTTTGGTGGTCGAACGACCCTTTCACAGGGGTCGCCTAAGACCCTCCTGCATGTCAGATATTGACATTACGATTCATAACAGCAGCAACATTACAGTTATGAAGTAGCAACGAAAATAATTTTATGGTTGGGTCACAACAGGAGCAACTGTATTTAAAGGGCCAGAAGGTTGAGGAGAGGAATAAAAATCCATGAAATTCAGAGTTTGTGCTGTTGGATGATTTTGCCCCTTTTGTAGGTCCTTGCTGATTGACTCGGGGCTGTAAAAACAGGACACCCTCGTTGAAATTGAATATGCCTTTTGTTTAAACAAGTGGGTGGGTATTAGGTGGCTGCCTCCTTTTTTATTTTTCCATTTTCTATTCTTCAGTGGATAAGGATGGAAGAGATTAAGATGCTAGAGAAGTAAAGCATGGTGCCCTCTGCACCCCTCACCCTTGCGTAGTTTACAAATAGGAAACCATTGTTTCACTGTAACCCTTGTTACTTTGGGGTCCTAAGGTACTCTGTGCCCATATCTTCTACACTTGCCTTCATATCCCTCATTCTGTATTTCCCAGAGTTATGCCCTTGCAGCGGTTCTCAACCTGTGGGTCACGACCGCTTTGGCGACAGGGGTCGCCTAAGACCTTCCTGCATATCAGATATTTACATTACGATTCATAACAGTAGCAACGTTACAGTTATGAAGTAGCAACAAAAATAATTTTATGGTTGGGGGTCACAACATGAGGAACTGTATTTAAAGGGCCAGAAGGTTGAGAACCACCGCTAGTGGCTAAGAGGAGCTAAGATAGTTACTTTTTATGATTGATTTGATTTAGAAAATCTGTTGGAAACAGCCCGGTGACTGGCCTCTTCCCCTAAATCAGTGGTTCTCAACCTTGGCTGCACATTAGAATCACCTGGCAATCTTTTTAAAATCCTGATTTCTGGGCCTCATTCCGGAAATAAGGATTTTAAAAAGATTCCCAGGTGATTCTAATGTGCAGCCAAGGTTGAGAACCACTGCCCTAAATACATCCACTGTTACAGTCTTTAAAAAATTGGCTTCAAACAGGGTGTTGGTTGGCCTTTGTGATGTTGGACATAGAAGGGACTAGGAAGATGAATGCAGTATTCTAGGCAGATGTAAGAATAGAGATGGCCATAATTAGCTTAGAGCAGTGGTACCTGAGATTTTTGTAATATTGACACTTAGGTGATCATAGCCATTCCAGTAATGTGAGACAAGATTGCTAGTTTCCCGAGTATCATAAAACTTCAGTCAAACCATACTCCTGCTCTTGGAGAAACAGGGGAAGTCGAACTCCCACTTGTTTTGTAAACAAGTATTTAAGGAATTAAACATTCACTTTTACATATTTTTTTTTGCTTGTTCTTCCACTTATTCAGCTAGAAATCACACTACCCAAGGATATAAAGTATTAACCCAATATTTTTTCAAATCTTTACAAAATTACAATTTCCAAAATAGGACATTCATTTTACATCTCAACCTAGTATACACATCATACAGACACACATAATTTCAGAAAGAATATTTACTATGTTATTAACTGATATTTTCTTTTAAATTGTTATTTAAGAAAATGCAGCTCAGATCTCAGATTTAAATTCATTTCACAACCTAGTAATGGGTCAAATGTACAGTTTGGTAAAAAAAAAAATCTGATAATTAAGTCTCTGGTCATAAGTAGTACATAGCTTCATTTAGGTTAGTTCCCCCCCCCCCCCCCCATTTAACTCACAGGAATTTAATTATATGTACTTGGAGAAATAAGAAGTTTGAGTGATTCCATATCTCCCCTCTATGGGAATGACTCAGAATAAGCATGTAATAGAAAACAATCTCAGTTCCAAATGTTTCTTTGAATATGAACATCTTATTCTACTCTATGTGATTGTATATTTAATTAAACTTTTTCCATATGGTCTCAGATTAGCAAGCAACATACACATAATGCTTAGTTTAAGAAAACATGATTAATTACAAGATGGGAGAAAAGCTGTCTGTCTTGGGTTTATTAAGGATAGGACATGAGCTTCCAAATGTAGCTTTTTCCAAAGGAATGTTCAATGATGCTCCAAAGGCTAATTTTAAGTCCATGACATTGATGCTTTGTCCATTGTTTAGAACCCAACTTCACCATATTTTGATTATTCAAGAATATGTGCTATTTGTGACAAAGGATGATGTGGGTACCTGTATGTAGACATTTATTACTCCTTTTGTAATATCAGATGAGAAAAAGTATGTGTAACATATGTATGTATGTGTATGTGTATGTATATATCAAAGCTTAGTTCCTTTGTTAGTAGCAGTCAAAACGCTGTAAACCAATTTCAGGTGAAAATTAATTAGGGTGTTTAAATGAAATATATATTCACTATTTCAACTTTAATGATGAAACTAACTTTCAAGAAGCATCAAATATTGGAATTAAGAGTATATGACCAGAGAACTCAGCCAGTTATTATTTTTTTGTTATACATTTAGCTGTGCTGTCCAGTCACTCAAAAAGAAAAAAAAAATTGAGAACATGCTGTATTAAATAATTAGAATCCTTATCATTGATAGTATCTTTATTCTGGGAGGTGAATATTTTCATGCAGTTAATTTTCATAATTTATTGAGTGGCTACTTTGTACTATACTTTGTAATTAAACTCCTTCCATTTTTTGTTTAAATATGGGAAATATATTTCATATGTTTATTGAATTCATTCCTCCAGTAAAGGTCAATTGGTGGCCTATTATGTTGTTAGACACTGAACTGGGGGCTGGTAGATTAGGAACCAGTGAAAAAGACAGTTTTGGGTGTCTGTATCTGTAAAGTGGATATATATTTCCATGCTAGCAGATAAGTGAAAGTCAAAGCTAATCCACTGCTAAGATAATTTAGGCTCAAGTCTCCTAGCATTTGGTCAACTCATTCATTGGCTGAGTTTAATAAACTGTGAGAAGGATTTTAAAATTTAATTATTCGATTCTGTGTAGAAGGTCTGTAAGTAATAATAATTTTATGAGTAATTTTTAAAGGTTTGTGTTTTTTTTTAAAGAAAATATTTAAGTGTTCTAAAGAAGTGAAATATAGGAAAACATAAAGACAGTGTTATTGGCAGTGGTTAGTTTTCTTGTTTTAATAATGTCTGGAACAGTTTGAAAACTAGTTTTGTGTTTTCTGGAGCCTTTATTTCTTTTCGTATATGAAAGGAAGTCTTTTTAGCAACTAGAAGTATAATCCACATTGAAGATGATATACTATTTAAATAACTGAGGCACTCATAAAAACTAATACATAGACTAGTCCCACATCCATTCATAGCATTTTATTGCTCATAAAAGAACTTTTTCTTTCAAACTAGGTATCACTTATGCATTTGAGTATTTTTAGGTAAAAAAGAAAACCTGCATACTGTTACTGACCATAAATAAAAGAAAGAAATTAATAATGAAATTTTAAAATAAAGAAATTTGGAAATTAGCAAGTACTTCCCAAAATGACTTCTGGGTATAAACTGTAAACAATAGAGTGATAGAGTTTTTTTACAGGATTCTTTTCCTCAGAAGGAGGCTTTTTTCTCTGGACTCTATAATATAAACAGCTTAAGGAGAATTTATTATTATTTTCTCTTTGTTGGGGATTGAAGGAGAGATGTAAAATAACCACTAACCATAACAACAACAAAAAGAAAAAAGTATAAATTAAAGTGTAAACATTTTCTCAACAGATATTTATAGATTCCTTATGTCACTTTCACTGCTAGAGCCAAGTCCTTTATTAGTAAGTCATACTTTTTTAAGCTGAAGTAATTCAGTTATTTTATAAATGTTGAAAACATTTTTTTGCATTCTTATTTCTATTTCTTGCTTAGTACTTTAGTTGAGATTAAAATACATGTCAATCTTTGCTAATTTGTTTGGAAGCAAGCTAGAAGATATATTTATAGCTAACATTGGTTTCAAGAGATTTTGTAATGTCATCAACGTACCTTTTAAAAATAGGGATATTAAAGCACATAATGTTGTATTAGCTTACTTTTTCCATATTTTCATTGCTTTTTGAGTAGGTTATGACATGTTTATATATGGAATGGGCAAAAGTAGTCTTACAGTTCGTATGGCAAATAATGCAATAATCCTATATAATAAAGAGCTAATATGCTAATTAGACCTGATGGCAGGATAACCTTCCAGAATGACCTTCCGGATGACCTTCTGGAAGGACCAGTGGGTGGGGCCATAAGGCAGCCAGGGCTGCGATGGGCCGAGCCCCTTGCACGAATTTCTTGCATTGGGCCTCTAGTTAATAAATAATATAAGAATAAACTATTTTTGCATACTTAAAACTGCAAACCTATTTTTGCACACCCTGTATTGACATTTCTTGTCTTTAGCTCAAATGTTGAATTCTTACTTTTAAATGGATAAAATAATGCATGATGTATAAGGATTGTTATAGTACTCTCTAGTATTCAGGCCGTCAGAAGTCTTTAAAGAAAAACAACACAGAATAGATAAAACTTAAAGCATTAAAAAATGAAAACATAAAAGTTTAGAAGTAAATATAGGTAAATATATTTCTAATATTGGAGTAGAAAAGGTCTTCTAAATGGTACATAAAATCCACAAGCTATAATGTAATTGATGGATAAATTTGAATATATGAAATAAATACCTTTTCTCCCCAAAGGTAGTTAAACAACAACATACTGGAAAAAATATTTCTAACACAATTGGTAGACATAAAACTAATTTTAAAATTTCCAACAACACTTCTTATATTTTATTGGCAGAGCATAGTCACATAGCTTACAGGCAAGTGAGGCCTGTCTTTTAATTGGGCAGCAAAGAGCTAAAATGTTTTCTGTAACTAATAGGAAGGGGATAATGGGTGATAGAAAGAGCTACAGGTAAGTGATATCTGCCACACAAGTAAACATGAACAAATAATCAAAAATAGTATTTTAAAATGTGCTGTAAAAAAAAAAAAATTAAACAGGTCAAGGGTTTAACCAGAGACTTACCAATTTTGGTAGCTATAAGTATAATTAGGGAAGTCTTCCTGAAGAGTTGACATTTAAGCCAAGACCTAAATGAAGTGAAGGAATAATCTACATGAAGATCTGGTGGATAGTACATGTACAAAGGCTCTGGTACAGGTGGAGCAAAAAAGGCAGTGTGAACAAGGGAAAGAGTGATAGATGAGGTTGAACAGGCGTATGTGGGGCCAGATAATGGGGGGTCTTGTAGTCTTGGTAAAGAGTTTGGATTCTTTTCCTAATTGTCAGGGATCAATTGGAGGATTTTGACTTGTTAAAAGGCTAGGCGGGGGCCATTGTGGAGAGCTGGGCAATAGATGGACTTGACTTGGACAAGGGTGATAGTTATGGGAGAGTTGAGAAGTGATTAGAATTGGGATATATTTTGTAGCTAAGGCCAATAGGATTTACTAATGGTTTGGATATGAAATATGGGGAAAAGAGAGCAACTCAGATTGAATCGTAGGCTTTTGAACAAATGAGTAGATGGTGTCATTTTCTGAGAAACAGAGGTGTAGGTTTCGGAAAGGGTAGGAAATCAAACATTTTATTTTTGGTAAGTTAAATTTGGGATACCTGTTAGGCACTCAAGTAGAATTGTTAGGCAGTTGGAGATTCAAGATATGGGTAGAGGAGATAGCTAGGAAGAGAAATGTGAGAGTCATCAGAGTAGAGTTGATATATAAAACCATGGGATTAAATGAGTTCACCTAGAGCAGTGGTTCTCAAAATTGTGTGCACAGAATTACCTCAGGAGCTTTTAAAAAATACTTGAACCTTACCTGAAACAAATTAAATCAGAATCTCTAGAGCATCACTATTGAAAGAAAACACAAACTCCCCAAAAGCGATTCCTAGCAGTCAACAGTTGATACCAACTGATCAAGGCCTTATGGACTGAAACTGTTTATTGTCCATTTGGATTTGGGTATATAGATGACCTTTAGAAATGATTTTAGCATAATAGTGAGAAGGGAAATCTGACTGGAGGAGGTTATAGAGTAAATGGGAATTAAAGAAATGGAGACAGAAGGGGCTCTTTCAAGGAATTTTGCTGAAAAGGGAGCAATAGCTAGAGAGCCATTTCCTTTTAGAGCAAATTTACCTTAATAGTCAGCATTTCAGCCCTGGCCAGCTTGGCTCAGTGGATAGAGTGTCAGCCTGCGAACTGAAGGGTCCCAGGTTCGATTCCGGCCGAGGGCACATGCCTGGGTTGCGGGCTCATTCCCCAGTAGGGGGTGTGCAGGAGGCAGCCGATCAATGATTCTCTCTCATCATTGATGTTTCTATCTCTCTCTCCTTCTCCCTTCCTCTCTGAAATCAATAAAGAAATATATTTAAAAAAAAATAGTCAGCATTTCAGTGTTTATACTCTAAAATGTGAAGGGTAGAAATAGTGTAAGCATATATGGGTTATCAGTACAAGAACTTTTTAAAAGAAAGCTTCCTGCTATATTTTTTAAGAATCTATTTTATAGCCGAGACCGGTTTGGCTCAGTGGATGGAGCGTCGGCCTGCGGACTGAAGGGTCCCAGGTTCGATTCCGGTCAAGGGCATGTACCTGGGGTGCGGGCATATCCCCAGTAGGAGATGTGCAGGAGGCAGCTGATCGATGTTTCTTTCTCATCGATGTTTCTAACTCTCTATCTCTCTCCCTTCCTCTCTGTAAAAAATCAATAAAATATATTTAAAAAAAAAGAATCTATTTTATAGTTATAGTACTAGTAATCAAGTAATATGGTGTTTTCATTTTTAACTTTATGTAGCATTTTGTCTTCTCCGTTACAGCTACAAAGCAATACATTTAAAATGTCTTCTTTTTTTTTTAAGGCTGATAAAGAATTTGTATGGTCTTTGTGGAAACGTCTCCAGGTGACAAACCCAGATATCACACAAACAGTCAGTTTGATTGTGGAAAGGTAAGTGCCCCAGTCATTTTTTCATGAGTATTTCGTTTGTTGAATTTGTTTTTCTTCATTATGAAAATTAGAACTTGGTGTTAATCCCCTAAAGTGGCAATTTTCAACCTTTTTCATCTCATGGCACACATAAACTAATTACTAAACTTCTGCGGCACACCAAAAAATATATTTTTTGCCCATCTGTCAAAAAATACAATTTTGATTCATTCACACCAGATGGCTATCATTGTGTTGGCTGTTGTCATTTTTTATTTGAAAATCTAAGGGAAAAGAGGTCAGTGCCTCTGACTAGTCAGGTAATGCATGTTTTCAAAATTCTTATAGCACACCAGTTGAAAATCGCTAACTGAAAGAGATGTATTTGATTTCCAAATGATAAAAGTATTTGATTTATTTCAAGGGATGCCAGTTCACCAGGTAGTACAGATAAGTAAGCCATATCTCTTGCTCATATTCTGACATATTTGGGAAGTTTGCAAGAAAGGGGTAAACTGTGACAGAGAGAGAGAGAGAGAGAGAGAGAGAGAGAGAGAGAGAGAGAGAGAGAGAGAGAGAGAGAGAGAAGGAGAAAGAAATAGAGATATGAGCTATTACAGCTCAACTTTAAAAATTGGAGAAGTCCCTGTTGTTTGGCTTCTTACTCTTAGATTGCTCTTCTTGACATCTTCCTAGTCATGCGCCATTTTCCCCTAAGATAATTGCAGTATTTACTTTAAAGCCTGGGATGACCTTGCCAGAGTGTAGTAAGTATTCTGGAATAGGTTGAGGGATTTCACTTAACACTCTGTATTATCCAGTGTGAGATGCCGTTATTCAACTGTAGATTATTAGGCCTCTACTTGGTCATTAGAAACAGCAGAGTGATGTTAGGTACTCCTTATCAAACATTTGATATACAGTACTCCCATGACACTTAGCAGAGCAATTAAAAACTTGCTTTCCTATTAAATGAATTCCATTACATTTCCTAAATGAGAAGCTAAGCATATGGATGCATTTTTCTTTTTCTTTATTGGAGTCATGATTATGTAACCTGAATATTATTTTTGATAATTTGAACTGCATTTACATTTGGAGTCACTTGCCCTGGGATCATTCGACTATTGCTGGCATTCAACTTTTTAAAATCTGTGATATATATATCAGTGTTTAATTTCACTGTCCTTGATTATTGTGAACTCTTAAAATAGTGTAATCAGTTTCTCCTGTTGCTTGTATGTCTAATTCATCAATCAGATTTCTCTTATGATAATCAGAATAAAGTCTTTTGTTAACATACCCTTGTAACTTCTTCAATCATCCTTGAGATAAAATGTGATCACTCTGCCCGCTCTGTTTTTTTAGCAGAATAAGCCTTTGAGGAGATATATTCTTGGCACTTCAGTTGTCATTTCTGTTATTCTTTCTTTATCTTCCTCTTTTTTATTTTTATATATTTTTAAACTTGCTAATTTGTTATATTTTTTAACTTTCCAAAGCTATTCTTTAATTTTCACTTTACTCTTGGTTGTGACAGAAGCAAATATTAAAATATTTTTAGGTCATTGTTCTCATCATTTAATATTTCTATTTTTCATCTATCTATATAAAAGCCCAGTGACCCTTATGGCAGAATGACCAGAATGCCTGGTCACTATGATGCACACTGACCGCCCTGATCACCTGATTGGGGCCTGCTGGCCAACTTCCTGGCCCCTCCCTCCCCAGATCACCTAAGGGGAATGGGGAACGGAGGGTGGGTGGCGGTGGATGCGGGTGGTGCCAGGTCAAGGCGGGTGTCGGCGGGGGTGGGGCTAGCTGCTGGCAGCTGGGGGAAGGAAAGCTTTTGAAAAACGTCTTTCTGGGGAGGCTTTTCTTTTCCCCCCAGTGGCACTCAATTCAAAGGCGCTAGCCACGGAGCTGCTTGCCGTGGAGTTGCCCAATCTCTTCCCACACCCACTCGGATTGAGTCTGGTGCACAGCAGGGTGGAACACCCTGAGCCGCTGCCCGTACGCGGGAAGCTGGCGGGGTTGGGGCGAGGACGCAGGGGCCTCAGAGCTGGACCACCTGGCCCCCAGCACGCTCTCCGCTTGGAAGTGTCCAGCTGCAGACCTCCGACCCCATTAACTGGATCAGTGTTGGGGTGGAAAGCGACCCAGGAGGGTGAGGAAATGAAACTTGGGGCGAATACCACACATGCAGTCCCCCTAACCTTCCCCTCCCAGGATAATTCTGGCTCCCTAACCTCCTAGGCGCCAAGAGATAAATGTGGATTTGAAAAGAGGCAGGTCCTAGAGGAGCTTCAGATGGGAGGACCAGAGGAGTTACCCACTTCTGACACCCCACCCTTTGCTTTAAGGCTGCAGTCTCCTTCCCTAATACATGTTGCTTGAAGTACACGATGGTTTGTGTTTAAACATGCGATAAACGTGGGGAAAGCAAAGTTTTGTGCTTTAAAACAAAAGAGTCTGGAGTCTTTGGGGGGGGGGTCTCTCTCTCTCTCTCTCTCTCTCTCTCTCTCTCTCTCTCTCTCTCTCAGACACACACACTCACTCCTTCCTCCCCTCTTCCCTGGCCTGGCAAATCTTCAAGGAGGAAGTTAACTCTAGTTCCTCAGAACTCACCCTGGCTGGATTGGCCTCTGTTTTGTTTTGTTTTTCTCTCACAAGGTTTTTCTCTAACCTCTAAACCAGCAGTCGGACATCCCTGGAGGGATCCTGGATTGGGAAAGGGCACAGGCCGGGCTGAGGAACTTCCCAGCCCCTGTGCACGAATTTCATGCACCAGGCCTCTCATATAAAATATACAATCTTTATTTATATAAAGGTGTGTGTGTGTGTGTGTGTGTGTGTATATATATGATATACAATTTATAAATGTACATATATTGGGAGTAGGCACTCAAAAGCCTTTTGCTGATAAGATAGATATGTAATGAAAAATTTTGGAATTACTGCTTTACAGTAAAGATTCTCAAAGTTTACTGTAACAATTAACTGTGAATAAGATATTAGAGAATTTACCTAAATGTAGATCTCTGAGTCTTTTCCCTGATCTACTGAATCTCTAGAGATGAGATCTAGGAGTTTTTTTTTAAAAAAAATAAGCTTTCCAGGTAATTCCGTTGTTGTAGTTCATTTATATAATGGCCCCTTGGCTTATGAATTTGGACCAATAGCTTTCTAAACCTACTGATAACTGTTATTAGGAAAATGGTTGTTTTGAAAGTAATCCTCAGCCATTTGTTGTAGGAAAATACTACAGTTAGCTCTTCTGAACATGGATGAGTGGGAAGCCCAGCTTTCTGGTAAATGGTTCCTTAATTAGTCATCTTGATTCTTGGGGCTTAAAAAATAAATAAATAAAAAAGCTCTCCTCTACCTGAACTCTTAAAAAAAAAGATAATTATTTAAAAAACATTTTATTACTTAATTATGGTGGCTGTTAAGTTCATACCTGCAGTGTAGACTGGCACATTTGAGACTCAGGAGAGTTGATGATGCAGATAAAGACTGAAGGAAAATTTCTTGTTCATGGAGGCTGGTCTTTTTGTTCTATTCAGGCCTTCACTCATTGGATGAGGCCCACTTATATTATGGAGGACATTCTGCTTACTCAGATTCACCAGTTTAAATGGTCATCATATACAAAAACACCCTCCAGGTTTCCACATAAAATTAATCATCAGTGTAGGCTATTGAAGTCTTCAACTATTGTAATTGAGTTGTCCATTTCTCTTTTCATTTCTGTCATTTTTGCTTCATGTATTTTGGTCCTGTGTTTATTAGGTACATATATGTTTATAATTATTACTAGAGGCCTGGTGCATGAATTTGTGCATGGGTGGGGTCTGGCTGAGCCACCCTAGTCGGGGCTGATCAGATCAGGCCAACCAGGGGAGGAGATATGGCAGGTTGGCCAGCTGGCCTCACCCTGACCTGGGTGTTGGAGGCCGATCGGGGGCCTGGCCTCCTGGAGGGGCAGGTGCGGATCAGGGACCAGATCAGGCTGGTTGGCTGCCGCAGTGTGCATCATAGCCACAGGTTGTTCTGGTCATTCTGCTGTTCCGGTCGCTGGGCTTTCATATATATAGACTAGAGGCCCGGTGCACAAAAATTTGTGCACTCGGGGGGAAGGGGGGCGGTCCCTCAGCCCGGCCTGTGCCCTCTCACAGTCTGGGACCCCTCGGGAGATAACGACCTGCTGGCTTAGGCCTGCTCCCGGGTGGCAGAGGGCAGGCCCAATCCCTAGGTGCAGCCCCTGGTCAGGCTCAGAGCAGGGCCGATTGGGGAGTTGGGGCGCCGCCCCCTGTCATGCACAGAGCAGGGCGGATTGGGAGGTTGCGATGCCACCCTCAGTCACGCTCAGGGTAGGGCTGATTGGGGGATTGGGGCACCGCCCCCTGCCACACTCAAGGCAGGGTTGATGGGGAGGTTGCAGCGCCACCCCCTGTCACACACAGAGCAGGGCCAATCGGGCTTGGGGCGCTGCCCTCTGTCACTCACAGAGCAGGGTCCATCAGGGGGGTTGGGGCTCCGTACCCTGTCACGCACAGAGCAGGGCGGATCAGGGGGTTGGGGCGCCACACCCTGTCACACTCAGGGCAGGGCTGATGGGGAGTTTATGGCTCTACCCCATCACACACAGAGCAGGGCCTGTGCTGGGGGGGGTTGGGGCGCCGCCCTCTATCACCCACAGAGCAGGGCCAATCGGGGTTGGGGCGCCGCCACTGTCACACTCCGGGCATGCCCGATGGGGAGGTTATGGCTCTACCCCATCACACACAGAGCAGGGCCCATTGGGGGGGGGGTTTGGGCGCCGCACCCTGTCACACACAGAGCCGCAGGGCGATCAGGGGGTTGGGGAGCGCTCCCCTATCAGGCACAGAGCAGGGCTGATCAGGGGGTTGGGGTGCCTTCCCCTGTCATGAACAGAGCAGGGTGGATAGGGAGGTTGTGGCCCCGCCCCCCGTCACACACAGAGCCACAGGGCGATCAGGGGGTTTGGGCGCTGCCCC